AGGAAGCCTCTAGAGAGCGTTATCAAAGAAATCCAAACCTCCAAAAAAGAAAATCAAAGGAACGATATGAGCAAAATCCAGACCCACAAACACAAAAATCTTTAAAACGGTGTTATGAAAATAGAGATGCAATAATAAGTGCAAAGAAGGATAAATTTGTGAGATTTCAACTTTCTGATAACAAAATGGATAAATTAAAGATAGCACTAAATAAAGAAAATAAGATGCGTCTAAATAAAGATTATTACGAACGTAATTATGGTCAAATATTGTATAGATTACATTCTAATTACTCACTACCTGCACCAAATAGTGAAGCAAAGGAATATTATATTACTAAAATTAAAGAAGCATTATATTACAGCCCCGATATAGTTGATGTTTATTGCCATCAAGTATGAAAGGTGTAGATTTTGAGAACACAGTAAATGTATTGCTGCATCAAGTATATTGTTAGAATCAGTTTTGAAAAACAGATCCCACAAAGTAGGCGTATTGATACGTGCAGCAAATAGCATTAGGAAATTGAAGTTGAATAGCTTTAGTAATTTTGGTGAGCAATGCCACACAAAGAGTAGTGGGCCTTATTTTTATGAATCAGCATATTTGTATCCTAATGATGATTCTGATAGCCAATTACATAGTCCAATTGCAATCCCTGTTGATACAAATGGCATCTGTTATGTAGCAGGGATGGTTGAAGTATCATGTATTGATAGAATAGAAGAATGTAATGATGATAGTGACTCTGAAGATGACAAATTTGATAATAATAGAACATATACTAATAAGAGAAAGCCTGCCCTCAAATGGCACTGTACAGACAGGTGCAAGTCTTTATTAGAAAGTGATGTTGGTTCTATTATTGAAGTTAGACGTTATTTTGATAAATCCATTAAAGAATTGAGGAAGCATTTAGATGCATGTGATAATTGTCTTAACACTCGTTATATGACAAGATCCCTGCATGCTGAAGAAATAGATGAAGCGCATGAAAATGATTTCTGTGATAATCCAAATGTAACAGTAATTGTTAAAAAAGATGAAAATAGCGTTGAAAAATATTTTAAATATTCAGAAATTGTTTGTGAAAGGATAGGCCATCCTATTGTGTGTAGTAGTGATGATACTGAATGTAAAAGCATGCTGTGTACTTTACGCAATGCATCTGTTCATTTTCCTTTGCTGAGACGCCTTTTGAAACACTTTTATGTTGCTAGAAATGCCCATTTAACAATAGATATTATTGATTCTTCCCTTGCTGATGGTGATATAGCACAATTGATAGATTTAAAAATTAATGAAGCCGATGAGATTGAATTTGATAATGTGTATTACACTATAAATGATGGTGAAGAAGACCCATTTAGAATACCAAACTTAGATATTGTATTTTATTTTCAGTATTCAAATGCTATTGATGAATTTAAGAAAGCTTTGTCTGATCTGGCTGTTAATGCATGTTGTTGCTGTGAGAGGCTTTAAAAAAAAAAGTCTGTCACTGAAGCTAAAAATTTAGATAGCGATGTTTGGAATATCCTATTAGATTACATTAGAGAGAATGATCCTACAGCATTAAGTAAAGTTACGTATATTTGTAATCACTGTAAACCTATTATTAGGAAAATGAAGTTCCAGCACATTGTGTGCTTAATGGGTTAAAGTGTGAGCCACTACCAAAAGAATTGGAAAATATGGATCCTTTGAGTTGCCAGTTAATACAGAGAACCAAATGTTTTCAGACAATTGTTAGGCTAGGCACACACACTTTAAAAGTGCCTACATATAATTCTTTGAAGGCTCTTAAAGGTGCAATGTTTTATTTACCCCTTCCATTAGAAAAAACAATGGAAACTTTAAATGAGACTGGTATAGATTCTAATCATTTGCCTAATCCAGAACTTTATATTATTATTAATGAACAACCTACTAAATCAAATAATGTCTGGCATGGCCTAGTTGATGTGAATAAAATAAAAG